GGCGCCAGCGCCGGCGCTGGCGGCCGGCAGCAGCGCCGACGGTGGGGACGCAGCAACGATGACCAGAGGCAGCCCAGGGGGGGGAGGGAGGGGGGGGTTTCAACCCCCCCCTGGGCGCCATGGGGGAGGGGTTTCTAACCCCCGCCCCCCCTGGCGCCGGCGCCGGCGCTGGCGGCGGCCAGCAGCGCCGGCGACGGCGGGGACGCAGCGGCGATTACCACCACTACCACCACCGCCACCACCACCACCACCACCGCCTCAACCCACCACCACCACCACCACCAACCCACCACACACCACCCACACCACAGCCACCACCACCACCACCACAACCACCACCACAATTCACCATCGCCACCAACACCACCACCCCCACAAAAACCCACCACCACTACCACCACCACCACAATCTACCACACCACCACCACCACCACCACCGCCACATCTACCACCACTACTAGCAGCACAACCCACCGCCACCACCACAAACCACCACACCACCACCACCACCGCCACCACCACCACCAGCACCACCTTCACAAACCACCGCCACCACCACAACCAACCACCACCACCACAACCCACCTCCACACCACCACCAAACCACCACCACCACCACAACCCAACACCACCACCACCACCACCACCACAAACCACCACCACACCACCACCAAACCACCACCATCACCACCACCCATCACCACAACCACCACCACCACCACAACAAACCACCACACCACCACCATCACCACAATCACCACCACCGCCACCACCACCACCACCACAACCCACCACCACCACCACCACCGTCGTCCCCGTCAACGCTCCCCGACGCCGCCGCCCGCCGCCGCAGGCGCCAGCGCCGGCCCAGAAAAAAAAATTGTCGTCCCCGCCGCCGCCGGGGGGGGGTCGAACCCCCCCCCTCCAAGCGACCACAGAACGCGCTCTTTCTGACCTATTGTCCGCCGACCCGAACGGATAGGCCAGCACATTCACAAGCACTGGACCCCAACAGACGGTGCGGTGACCTATTTTCCGCCGGCCCGAATCACTGCCCTGGCAGGAGAGCTGAAGATGGAGGCTGGTTTGTCGGAGCAAGCCCACCCCAGCCACCCCCGCCATCCCCTTGAAGGGGAGGGAGCAGAGAGGAAAAAGCAAACCAGGCGGACAGGAAGAAGGTGGAACGGGGCGGGGACGGGAGCGAAGACACAGAGGGGGCGAGAGAGGAAGGGGAGGGAGGAGAAAAAGGAGGAAGGGGGAGGGGAGAGGGAGCGAAAATGAGGGGGGGAAGGACGGGCAAGTTGGGGGGGACGGTAGGTGTTGACGTGCCCCAGCCTGCGGATTACAGTCCTTCTTCCAGTGCTCGAGTAAGGGGTGGGGAGCGGGAGCGACCACATGGGAGACGCCACGGCGGCATGTGCGGCGGCACGGATCGAACCATCACCCGGGTAGGGGTTGGGGAAAGAGAGAGAGAGAGAGAGAGGAAAAAAAAGAGAGAGAGAGAGAGAGAGAGAGCGACCGCATGAGTGACACCACGCCGGCACATGTGACGCCGTGGCGGCACGGGCCGACACGTCACCCAGTTTGGCGTGTTGGCAAAGTGGGGGGTGGCCAATGCGCCATAATGCGGAGGTGAACTGTTGTTGACAGGCACAATCAGCCGGCAGGGGAATAAATCCCGTTCACGGCCCTGAGGAAGAAAAAGTGAATGGTGGCAATTGGCGCCTTAAGGTCTTGAAGGTCTGAGTTGTGGAGGTACGCTGGCACCCCTCCCTACGGCCGTCTTCGTTGGCCGAGGGACCGTAGGGAGAGCCTCGGGCCCCTCCAGCGCCACTGACGGCTTCATGGATTGGTGTACTGGGGGTCTGGCTCCAGACCTCTGCTCAATGCCCCTGAGCGGGCGGGCAGCTATCCACATCCACCCCTCCTCCAGGGGCCCTCGAGATCCCAGGCAAAGACTCCGAAGCGATGGCTGGAGATGCATGTAACATGCATATCCAGCCATCGCGTAGCACGCGTGAAACATGCAGCATGTTTCACGCGTGCCCACGCCATAGATCGATGCGCTGGATCTCCCTTTCAAGCACATACGCGGGGCTAGTGCGCCAGGGGGAGAGGGGGGTTCCCCACAGGGGCTCGGGGGACGTCAGCAGAGGGCTATCGAATCGCCTGCATGCAGCCGGACTTGCGCGAGGCGCTGGGAGGGACACTATCGTGCACCGAGGCCATCGCGCCAGCGGCGGAGCCGGGAGCTGCTGCACTCAGCAGTTCTCGCCATCCCCTCCCATCCCAAACCCCCTTCTGTAGGACCCCCCCATCCTTCTCTAGAGGGCTGGAGATCCACCCCGATAATAAGCACCCCGACAACGCAACCGTTTAGCAAACGCACCCGACGAAGGAGTCCAACAAGAAAGCGCTGTTTAGTAAACGCACGGGGCCGTTTAGTAAACGCCGATTATGGGGGTCCCGGTGGATTTGTCCTCGTTGATTCTCGAGAAACCTCCCGAGGCCTCCCAAAGGCCTCCGGTTGGCCCCCGGAGGTCTCTGCAGGCCTCCGGCTGTCTCGCGGAGGCATACCAGGAGGCCCACGAGGGGCCCAAGACGTCCAAAGTCAAAGCGACGGGGGCGCCAGTGCATCGGCATCACGGGACACAACGACAGCGACAAATACAATAGCAGGGACACAGCCCAGCTGGTTCCTGTCGTGACGACCCGTGCGTCGGTTTCCGCCGCCGCGTGGGTCGTTCTCAAGCTTGACCGAGCGCGGCGTTCAGACGGCGCGGATCGCCCGATGTCTGGCACTTCTGGGCCACTGGCGGCGATCAACCTTGAGCGCCCGCGCTGGGGTCGCCGCCGCGTCGACACGACGCGAAGCTGCTAAGTGGCGGCGAGCGGGGGAAGTCAGAGGGAGAAGGCCTTCTCACAAAGCTCGGAAGCCCCCTGGCCTCCCGAGAAGCTTCCTGGGCCTCCCCCGAAGACACAGACAACCTCTCGGAGGGCCGGCAGGCTGCTGAGAAGTCCCTCCGCCTTCTGATCGGGTCGGGCGAAAGGGGGGGATAGCAAAGGGGGGGTTTGAGAATCAGCTCACGAAGCTGATTTCCCCGGCGCCTCCTGGCGCCGGAGGCGGCTATGTATCGAGGAATGGGCCCCTCAGTGGGGCCGAAACCAGCTGAATGCAGCAAATTTCGTACCCCCCCCTTTCCCTATCCCCCCCTTTCGTTCGGCCCGATCTGAGGAGGGCCTTCCCCTTCTCGCTTCCCCCCTCCCTCGCCGCCGAGCCCAAGCCCCGGCGGCGACGGCGGCGAGCCCCGGCGGTTTGGCCCGACCTCGCAGGAAAGGCGGCGAGGCTGGGCGCCGGGCAGGCGCACAGCTTCAGCAGCTGCCCGGGCCTGCACATCCTGGGCGCGGAGGCGCGCGCCCCCTCTCTCGCCGGCGACGACGACAACGGTAGTGAAAATCCTCGTAAAAGCACGGTAGCAGTACCAATCACGAGCATTGCAGCAACCATGATAATCATGATGGAGAGAGCGTGACCCACCGCCGCTTTTTACTGGGGGAAATGTCCCCCCCTCTTCCTCCGGACCCCGGGGGTCCCCCCCCCCCTTCCGAAAATCCCCCCCCTGCTGCCCCCCCCCCCTCCCCTCACCCGGCAACCCCCCCCCCCCTACACCTCCCCCCCCCCTGCAGTTAACCGGGAGGGTCACTACCCGTTCACACCCCCCCACCCTCCCCCTCGAAAACCGTGGGGGGTCACTACCAGTTCGAACCCCCCCCCCTCCGTTCTCGAAAACCGGGGGGGTCACTCACTACCGGTTCGAACCCCCACCCCACTCGAAAACCGGGGGGGGCTTCTACCGGTTCGAACCGCTCCCCCCCTCACCGCCAGCAAACGACTCCCGGTCCCTACCACCGTCCGCACCACATCCCCCACTGCTGTTCCCAGCACCACTGCCCTCACCAGGGCGATTCGGGTAGCCAACCCCCGCGCAGCTGCTGCAGAGTATCCCGAGGCTGGACAATCTCTGGGAACCTGCAAGAGCGTCTGAAAACTTCGAACCTCGAGCGGCGCCTGCTGATGGACCCCGAGATCTGGCCTCACGAAAGACCCTCGGCACCGTGAGGTCGGGACTGGAGCCCTGGACCGAATCGTTCGACGGCATCTCTCAAGCCCGATCGGACCGTGAGGCTCCAGGGGTCCGACATGGCGAGGGGGAACGAGAAGGGGGGGGCAGCTCAGAAGGGGTGAGTCGGGCGCGTCCCCCGGCAGGGGGATCTTGGACGAAGCATCAAGAATACTCCAAAAATAATCAAACATATATTCAAAAACAGTTCAAAAAATCGACCCCGACTATTTTGTTTGACTATTGTTGCATACTCCTCCTGGAGGGACACGCCCGATTTCACAGAAGAGAAAACATCGAGCTTGAACCGGCGATACGTCGCCGATAGATCGGCGATAGGCCCCCAATTGCGAAAATCCGCACGCTCCTGGGCGGGGGAGGGCCCTCAGTGGAAAGTGAGCCTGGTAGGTCAAATAGCATCCGTCTCCATGGGAGGCGGATGAGCTCACATTGCATCCAATTCCATATCGAAGGAATACGATATGGGGAGTGGATGGGTATGATAGGATAAGATCGATGTATCGGTCTTTCCAGCACATAGCGAACACTAAGGTAAGTGTCCGGGCAAATAGGGCGCGCGTGCCTTGAGCCAAAGGCAACGGCGCGCGAGCTATACTCCCGATACTATAACATCTCCCATAGAGCTACCCTTAAAGTCGGGAGGGGAGGAGACGGAGAGTATAGCCGCGCGGCCGTTAGGCTCTACAAAGGCCGCGCGCACGACTGCTTGCAAGAAAGAAAACAGTGTGTGCAGTCTGGCCTAACACCAGACTGTAAGGCGAGTTTCCTCGCAAAGCATTTCACGCAAATACAAGATAGCCCCTTCGGACGATGAAGGGCTCTCGGCTCAGCTAGAGGTAAGCCAAACGGGCCATACCTCACCGAGCAAACGGGTATTAAGGCAAAGAGCCTGAATCATATAAAGCCGGCTCGTTGCCAGGCGTGAAATGTAAGGCTCGTTTCCGAGCAACTAGAAGGGCGCCTCTGTAGTAGGCGCCCATGCTGGCAAGTTGGACCGCGGGGGGCAACAAGGACAGACTAAAATTGATTAGATCTGGGTTTGTTTCTGTGCTCGGGACCCCGAAAGGGAACAAACTGCTTCACGTCATACTTGAATGAATGAGTGCCTGACATCACTTCCAAAAGCAGCTCCCGATCGATGCTTCCCTTTGTATGCCCATCTGCGGTCATATCTCTAGTATCACACCACTGCACAGTATGTACTATACCTATATCCATGAGCTCACGTATCCAGCTGATATGTCCAAACAGAGTCCGTTATGTCGGTATCGTAAGATCTTTGCTTGATAACGAGTTATAAACCGATTCAGCGTCTATGGTAAGAGATACTTTAATGGCTAGGCCTCCAACTTCACGCATATCTCGTAGTTGTCGTGGAGTCAGAGCCCCTGCCTTGAGCTCGTGGAGAGTGATGAGCGTAGGGTAACACTCATCGAGGTTGTGTGCAGCTGCGAGTGCCTCCGCAGCATAGATGGACCTCACCTGCAGTCGGTGTGATTTGCATAATCCGTCACAAAGGTGAACGACGGATTTGCCTTGAGGCGAGTTTCCTCGCCGTAGTACGTTGGCCCCGCGTATGCCGTAGCCCTTGGTCTCATCGCCCTCCTCCCCGGTGAGCTTCCGATACCCCGAATCGCTGTGTATGTCAACTCCATTTGTCGGCTTCATCCGAGGGAAAGTGATGCGTTTCGGGCTGCTGATCAGCTTTCGCGCCACAGCATTCAGTCGCCTGACTTGTAGGTTGGTGGGCTCTTGGGTTTTCTGGAGAGAGACCACGTATACCATGAGCCAGATTTGAGCAAGAAGGACATAGGCGAGGGCTCCTCGCAAGCTGACGAACATGTCGGTAATGAGTTTCGTGGCTTTGGCATCGGCCGCCGCTCCTGTAAGTTCTGGGTGTGTGATAGGACGTAGTTGTTTGATATACTCGTCCTGATCCATGATCACATCCCCTTGGTCATTCTTAGTGTAGCGAACGGCACAATTCGTATATGAGTGTTTGTTGAGCTTGCATTTGCCAAACACCTTTTCGACACGCTGTACATAGTCGTCTATATTTTTCTCTAGGCCTGTCATATTCATGTCATCGACATGTTTTGCCGTTAGCAAATATTGGCTGAATTCAAATTCAGGATCATAGCTGGTCGGTGCAAGGCCTATAGCTCGTGTGGTCGTACGGAATTTGAGAGAGAACGCTCTTAGGGGCGTCCTTTGTACCCGTTCCTGGCATGAGGCACCTGAGGCAGTGTCGGCTTTCGTCATGGGATGAAAAGCCGGGTAGTGTACGAAGTACCTGGGCACTGCCCGGTGGAAGGGCGAAGCAAACCATGCGAGTTTCCTCGCTGGTGGCATGGGCAAGTTCCTCATAGGTTAGACCCTTGAGGAACGCTTTGTCGATATCCATGGATGCTAAGATCCACTCTGGATGGCATGCCGCCTCACTTGCCAGGAGTCTCTGGGACTGCCTTCGGGCGGTTCCCGAGAAGGTTTCCACGTCGAAAGCCTCAGTGTCCATAAATCCACGAAGGACAAGTCTGAGACGGATGGTTTTAAAGTTCTCGGTACCTACCTTCACAAACTGCCACTTATATACATACCTGGATGTAATGATGTTGGAAGCTTTGGATAAATCATACATCTCAAAGCATCGGTTATCAATCCAGAGTTTGAGCTCAGTGAACAAATCTTCACTAACCTCTTTTGGGTGTGCTGCTATGTCGGCTTTGGTGAGTAGGTAATCTTCCTTGACTACCACAGCACGTTTAGCAGCAGAGGATACATATATTCTCATCGTTGCGACCATATCAGTGTCGAGCTGTGCAAGTTGGGTCTGATCCAACACTACCTTTGACATTTCTGATGTAAAACAAAACTCAACATAGGGACCATATTCATCACTATCAAGAGAGTAGCTCTCATCAGGCGTGGTTGAGCAGAGAGAGACTAGACAGGGCTCTTGTGGTTCAGGCTCGTCTCCGAGCGCGTCCGACAATACGATATCTTCTTCGTCCACAGATGCTGAAACCAAAACACATTGGTCGGGCAGCATGGTCGGGGACGCAGTAGAGATAATCGTCGGTAGTTGTCGTAGGATGGAGGTCCATACGTAATTCGTCGTACCACTCTTCCAGCATCATGGCTTCGATATTGTGTTCCTCGTTTTCCTCATAGATTGTCGACAGACGGCCTTCACTCGGCGATGAAGCACCTGGGGTATCTGGTGGAGGCCTGTTTTCAGGCGAATCGTGTTCTCCAGACGTGGTGCTTGAGTGCTGATACTTGGCCAGGTCGTCGTGAAATCCTAAGGAAGGGACACGTGAAGTCAAGCATTGGATAAGTCTGGAATGAGTGCTACCAGTGATTTGAGAAATGTTCAGGCCAGTGCCCACACACTCATAGTAGGGGAAGGCTGGGCTGATATCATTGTCGTAGTGGATCAGCGTAGACCCGGTGGCGTACTTTACTGCAGGCAGACATGACACACTTTTGGCCAATCTAACTGCTACTACGTGTTCTACTCGGAAATAATTTCGCACGAGATACTGTAGTGCTAGATGTACGCGCGGGTGGAACTTGCTGTCTTCTGAAAGATTGAGGTTTCCCTTGTAGTCTGGGATGTAGCCGAAGACTTTGGCAGGTCTCCCTGCACCAAGGTGCGCCACATACGTAAGGACGGTTTGCATGGCCATATTATCCATGCCAAGTTCCCGTGTGAGGAGACATTCAATGTATAGTGTGTGACGAGCATCAGGATACATCACAATTACCTCACGAGATCCTGCCTTGACAACACTATGTCCTCTTTCAGGCACGTTACGGATCACAGGGAATGGGCCGTTCCAGCCTCCATGATCGTCCTTAGTGGCAGTGGGTCGATGGTAGTCGACTAGATCCCCTGCTGAGTAAAGGCGAGCATCATCTGGAGCCGTTTTAGCCCTGAGAGCACGATTTGTCTTGGCCACAGCAGTGGCTTGCGTTATGGCTTCTAGGCGAACTTCCCTCACACGACGTTCCCGTTCGCGTCCTGATGTCTCGGGTCCCTTGGGAAAGTCAAGGGTGTCGGGATCAGGAAGAAAGGAGGGCTGGCGTCCAGTGCGTGCTTGGTATGGCGATACTCCGTTATAGAACGTAAAGGCGTTGGTAACGAAGATGCCTTCAGCCAATACTCTAGCGAATACAACAGGGATGTTGTGTCTATTCAGCTCTTCCTCAATCATGTGGAGAACGCCCCTGAGAATAACGCTTCGTGACTCAAG